ACCAACTGTACCACCCAGGTGCCCCAAGTATTAGATACACTGGACAAGGCTGAGATAGATATATTTTATGATGCTAATGTAGTGTCTTTAACATATTGATATTTTTAGTGAAGAAGAGAGATGGAATATTGTGTTAGGCATCTCCAAGATGTTCCCAGTGACCGCCACCACCTGGTATTTACATCCTTGCATAGAACTTCCTACACCGGGGGCGCCTGGGTGGATCAGTTGGTTAAGTGTCTGCCTTCGGCTCAAGTCATGACCCTGGAGTCCTGGGATGGGGATAGAGGCAGGGAGCCTGCTTCTCCTTCTGCCTGCCACTCTGCCTGCTTATGTTCTCTCTCTCTCTGACAAATAAATAAATAAAAATCTTAAAAAAAAAAAAAAGAACTAACTACACTGAATAGGACTCACTTGTGTAGCAACTTTCAAGGCTAATGTCATAAAAGACATTGTAGTCTCTTCCTTGTTATCACTGATTGACTCACTACGGGGAAAACTAAGTTGCCATGACATGAGGAAATACTTAAGAAGCCCTATGGTAAGAATGTGAGGCTTCTAGCAAACAGCCATCAAGGAAAAGCCTCCTGCAAATGACCCGCCCAGCTCCACTCCATACTCCGCAGTCAAATTTTTCAGATGACTGCAAGCTCATGCGAGACCCTCTTCCAGAAGCACTCTATTAAGCTACTCATAGATTCTCGACTTTTTTTTTTTCAAGTAGGCTCCATGCCCAATTTGGGCTTGAATGCATGACCCTGAGCTTAAGTCGCATGCACAGGTGCCTGGGTGGCTCAGTTGGTTAAGCAACGGATTCTCAATTTCTCTTGATTTTTGCTCAGGTTGTGAGATTAAGCCTTGATCTGGCTCTGCACTCAGCGGGGAGTCTACTTGAGGTTCTTTCCCTCTGCGCCCCCCAAACCCCGCCCGTTCCCATGCTCTCTCTCATTCTCTCACTCTCTCAAATAAATAAATCTTAAAAAAAAAAAAAAGTCACATACTCTACTGACTGAGCCAGCCAGGTGCCCCAGCTCTCAGATTCTTGACCCACAAAAACCCTATGAGATAATAAATGTTTACTGTTTGAAGCTACTAAATTTGAATACTTGTTAAGCAGCAACAGATAACTAATAGATTGTCAGTTAATTCCTTAGAATGCTCTTTATAAAACATAAACCAGATAGAGAACATCTCCCTAACTAAAATGCTTCAAGGCTTCATGTTCATGGACTAAAACCTAAACTCCATGCTATGGTGTATAAATTCATTCATGCTCTTGCTTCTGCTTATACATTTTTACCCTCACCTGGTTCCATTCTCCACCTACTTAAAATCACTGGACGCCTCTGAGATTATTAAAGAATATACTCTCTTCTTTTACCTTTGTATTTGCTGTTTTCTCTGCTTAGGAATGCTCTTCCCTGCATTCTTGAGAGTATTCTTTGCATACTTGGCTCTTTTTTGTCACTCAGTTCTCAGCTTAAATGTTCCCTCCCCAGAGAGGCCTTCCCTGATGACCTGATCATGAGAACGCTCTGGAAAATTCCCACTAAACAGAGGAACAAGATAAGGTTAGGCCATATTTAAAGCCACATAAAACTGGAGTTAGCCTGTTTGACTAATTGCATTAAATGAAAAGAAAGAAATTAATATAAAATTTGGAAAGGAGAATACAAATTTGTCACTATAGATTACACAAGTGTACTTCTGATACACAAGAAAAATAAACTGGAAAAACAAGAAACATGTAAACTCTAGAAATAAAACATTAAAACTGGCTCAGTTGGCGGAGCATGACTCTTGATCTCGGGGTTGGGGTTCTCTACACGTTGAGTGTAGAGATTCTTTAAAAAAAAAAATCAAAATACCTCTGAAGGACAAAAGAAGGCATTAGCTAATAGAGAGGTATATACTACCTAGGATAGAAAGACTAAACATCAAAGAGAAGTAAATTCCCCAAATTTTCTGTGCAATATGGTTCCAATAATAATACCAATAGGACTTTATTCTTGCAATTAGACAATTATTAACTCATGGAAAGATAAACAAGGCAAGAAAAGTCAAGAAATTTCTGAAGAATTGAAATAAGGAATTAGCTCTATCAGATACGAAAACCTAAATAATTAGAGTAATTTGATGATTTACAGGAGACACAACATTGGGATAACAGAACTGAAAATCTACTAACATAAACAAATACAAATCAGTGGAGAAAAGATGGACAATTAAGTAAGTGGTGTCGGATGGCAGGGTAGTCATCTGAAAAAAATATAAGTTGTTACCAATATTCTACACACACAAAATGAATAAAATAAATGCAGAAAAATGAAATTAAAATACAACAAAAAGAAAATGGAAGATTTATAAGCTAGAAGTGCTAGATTTTTCTAATTAAGACACAATATACTAAAATCATTAAAGAACAGATGAAAAATATTTTTCATCTATAAAATATTTCCCCAACTTTAAAAAAATATTTTAAATATAAAACTTCATTTAAAAAATCTGAATGTTAAAAACAATGACAAACTGTGGAAATCCATCTGCAACTTTTATCACAAATGTCAATTTTCTAAAGAGGCTCCCATAAAATCAATGGAAGACTATTAATCCATAGAAAAATGGGCAATCTGTACATTATTTCCTACTTTAAAATGCTTTGGAATCAACCGTATTTCTTTTGCAAAAGAGTAAACAAAACAAAAAATAAACATCACTGGCGATTGTTTAGAGATATCTTCACCCAAGCTATTACACATAGAGGCTGACTGATGAGTGTTTTGTAGGGACTAAGAAAAGGATGTACTTTCATAGCTGAGTTAACACAGTGTGGAAAGCAGTGCATGACAGGACAAGAGATTGATCCATGAAATGAGGAAACAATAGTTCAAAACTAGTTGCGGAGCATTTTAAAGAAATTTCATTTAGCTCTTGAGAGGCAAGGTGACCCCAGCAAATATATGTGTTCCTGGAGGGTAAAGTAAACGGTAGCCAGCAAGCCTAGTCTCAAACTGGCTGATAGAACTCTGGGCCAGTTTCTTTCTTTCCATCTACAAAATGAAATGACTGGTAGATCTTAATTCATGTTTGCATCCCCACTATCTGGCCTAGGGCCTGGCAATCAATAGAAAGTAGACAACAAGCACAAGTTTCTTCACTTATTTTTCTTGTTCTGAAATGGGTTTTTTTCTGTTGTTGTTCTAAAATTCACACATTGTAACAAATTGAAGGCAGTTTATCTTAGTTGGTAATTGATTCTATTTCATATAATAGAAAACCCGCAAATCACTGGTTTTAAAAAAGTAAAAAAAACATTGTTTCTCTCCCATGTTAAAGAAATTCAGATTTAAGAAGGGCTGAGGTTGGTATGGCAGTTTTACTGGTATCACCAAGAATTTGGGCTCCTATATTTCTTCCCACTATCCTAGTACGTAGCTTCCACTATCACATCAATTTAGGCTTCCAGATGGCTGCTGGAGCTCCAGCCATTAAATCTATGTTCTATAAATGTTGAGTGAAGGGAGACAGACACAAAAGAGCATATACTATATGATTCTAGTTATATGAAGTTCATTAAAAAACAAAAACAAATGTTATGGAGATAAATGTCAAAATAGTAGTAATCATTATATGGAATCACTGGCTGAGAGGGGCCATGAGGGAGCCTTCCGGGTGCCTAAAATGATTATATCATTATCCAGATAGTGTTATACACATGAAGAATAACCTCAATAGATACATTTAGGATTTGTGCACTTGACTATATGTAAGATAACTAAACAAGGGAAATCCCAGATCTCTGAGCTTATGTGTATTTTGACAAGACTTGACTTCAATCTATCTCCAGACAGACTGAAGAAATGAGGCATTCTAAAGTATTCAGTGTTCAGAGTGCAGCTCTTGTGCTTGTAACTGCTGTCACCTCCCAAAGTTGGAAAAGTAACTAGGACAAATAGTCTACTACTAGAGTAGCTACGGGTGTGGCAATTGTCTTGCTTTAGGAATACCTGAGTTTAAATCCTACCTCTGGCGGAAAAAAAAAAAAAAATCCTACCTCTGTTTTGCATTTGTTTTTCTCCAGAAGATGTATGAAAATAGTGACCTTTACCTTATTCAAAATCATAATGGAGTCCTTGTGTGAGGATTTATGAGGCAATGTATACCAAGTTCTTAACATAGTGCCTGATACATAATAAAAGATAGTTGCTATTATTTTATTACCATTGTTGCCATCATCATCATTAAAAACTTTTTTTTTTTACATCATCATCATTATTAACAAATGATGGAACAGGGATCTCAAATGATTCTATGGTCAAAAATTCCAAATCAACTTGTTAATATCCTTGTGTGGATATGAATATCCTATTGAATATATACATTTGGCTATGAACTTGGTTTTCACTTGAGAACTTCCTAAAGAAGCTGAATGCAGCTCTTCTTATGGTTCTGCATGTTTAGAAAACTCCAAGTAGGAAAAAAAAAAAAAGAAAGAAAGAAAGAAAAGAAAACTCCAAGTAGTCATGGGAACAGTTTTGGGAGTATGTCATAAAAAATTTAGTTTTTTTTGTTTTTTTTTATAAAAAATTTAGTTTTGCTTTCAGAATCGTATGACCCTCATTAAGGTGGTCCTATGGATAATGACTTGGGAAATAATCACAAAATACAGAGACACAGAAAAGCTATAAAACAGTATGAACAGTTCAGTACCATTTATTTATGCTATCCTGTTATAACTGCATTAAAAGATCTTGAAAAGTACACAAGAAACTGGTAAAAGTGGTGACCTTGGGGAGATGAAGATCACTTGGTAATAATTGTGAACTTTTGTTCATTTAACATAAAAAGCCCAGGCTAAGATAAATCATTTCCTTATTATTTCCCAGGGAATAATGAGAGTTGATACTTTTCTAATCCACATTTTCAGGGAAAATAACTTGATTAATTTTTTATGTGGAATAAATTCATTTTTGAAAAAAGCATAAGTACAAAATACTTACCCACTTAGCAATTGGACACCCGTGAGAGCTTTTTCCTTCTTTTCCCGTATACACTACAATTTCTATCCTTACTGCGTTTCCTTTTTGACCATACCTGGGTACAAAACACAGTGGAGGGAAAATAATTGCAATTAATGGCAATATACCCTTTTAACATCTTAAGGTACAGAAGATACAGATTTACAGAAGTACAGAAACCCAACACCCCAATTGTTAAAATTTACATTTGTTAAAAATTTACTTTTGTGTGGCAAATATTTTTATTTGTTATCCCATTCTGTTTACTTATCCTTAAAGATCACTCATTTAAAAAATGGACTGGCTCCAAGACAAGCTTAAGGGATGTGAATGCAGTGTTGTTGGAGGTAATTTTAACTATTTCTACCATTATACAATGATATCAAAATAAGTATTTCTGGATTTAACAATGACAGCCTTGCTTTGTGAGTGTCTTGTTGAGTGCCCAAAGGCTCACGTGATGAGCGACTTAGCAGGGACACCAGGACACTATTCTTTTCCTGGGCCCTAAGAAACATCCAAATTATACTCCTGAAGGCTTTCCATTCACTTCTCATTTGTTCCCAGAGATAAGTCTCTCTGCATTGAGTCAGGTGCACAATAATGAATGATTTTAACAGGGAAGGATATTTCCTCACCTATTCTCCATGATTTCCCTGACAGCAGCAACACTTGGTCCTGCCCCAAGGTGTGTATAATATGGGCCTTTGTCTTTTTGTATAACTCGATCTGTGGAAGGAATAAGATTATTAGACCCAAAGCTATACAGAATTGCACAGGGGCATGGAGGAGCTATTTTTATTAATTCTTTTTTTTCTTTTTCAATTCAGAACAATTTATCCTGACAAGGTTTTGGTAAACTTTAATAATTAAAGTCTAGGACAATAGGCCCTAGAATTTAACTTGTTCCTTTCTTTTTTTTTTTTTTAAATAAATTATGTTTTATTAGATAATGACAGCTATTTTTTTTTTTAATTCTTATGTTAATCCCCATACATTACATCATTAGTTTTAGATGAAACTTGTTCCTTTCTTGAGGCTCCTAACTATCTCATTCTTCCTCTAAGCATCAGAGGAGGAAAACAAAAAATTTTAAGATGTGGGTCATATTTATTCTCCTATCTCCTGCTTTAAAAGAAATCTTTTAATAATTGAGGTGCAAAATTAGAAGTTTTCTAAGAGCAATACATCTTTAAAAGCTTGGCCTCAGAATCCTATTAAAATTGAGCCTCAGCAATTGCACTGCTAAGAGTTTATCTACTATACGCTCACATAATTATATATTTGTAATGCAAAGGTACACAGGAATGTTACTTGTCACAATTATTTGTAATATCAAAAAAGAAAGAGAGAAACACACTTAGCATCTGTCACTAAATGCTAGGGTGAATAAATTAAGGGATGTTTATATAGAGGAAAACAATAAAACTATTAAACTAATATTTACAAACACTGGGCGCCTGGGTGGCTCAGTTGGTTAAGGGTCTGCCTTCAGTTCAGGTCATGATCTCGGATCCTGAAATAGAGCCCAGGTCAGGCTCCCTGCTCCGTTTCCTGGCTCTACCTTTGCCCCCACCCCCTGCTCCTACTCTCTCAAATAGATAAATAAAATAGCTTTAAAAAGAACCCAATATTTACAAACATGGAAAAACCTGAGATCTCATTAAATTTTTAACAAAGCGAATTGCAAAAATAGTGTATTTTAAGACTTAAATTTTCTAAAACTGCAAGCAAAATGAAAATAAGTAATAACATTAATTCATATAAAAAACTCTAACAGGTTTTATCTTTAGAGAATGGTACTGCAAGAAGACATTTGCATCATATTTCTCTATTATTTGAAATTTTATTTTTTAAATTTATCGTTATCATTTAAAGATTTTAATTTTAAGCAATTTCTACACCCAATGTGGAGCTTGAAATTACAATCCTGAGATCAAGAGTCACATGCTCTACCAACTGAGCCAGCCAGGAGCCCCTGTATTATTTGAAATCTTATGTCTGTGAATTACATATTTCTCAAAAACAGTATTCTTAACTTGGCCTCTTAGAATCATGTCTAACTAGAATAGCTGAGTAATGTATTTCTGGCCATGGTGCACCTATAGCAAAAGGTCATTATTTAATCATTTTCATTGGATATCAGATAAAATATAGGATTATATGTGGCTTCCTAAGATACATTGAACAAATTTTAACTTATTACTGATGAACTAGAGCAGTGGTTCTTAACCAGGGGCGATCTTTCCTGAGTGGACATTTGGCAAACATTTTTGGTTGTTACAACTGGGCAGGTGTGTATGTGTGTGTGTGTGTGTGTATTACTGGAATCTGGTGGGTAGAGGCCATGGATGCCCCTTAACAGGCTAGGATGCAGAGGACAGCTCCCCTACATCAAAGAATTATCCTATCTAAAATGCCAATAGTGCTCAAATTGAGGAAACATGATCCAGAGGTTAATCACTCTTAGTTTGCTATAACATAATACTTCCATGGAAAACTTTTTTTTTTAAATTAAAGATTGTATTTATTTTATTTTAGAGAGCGAGAGAGAGTGAGTGTGCAGGGGGAGGGGCAGAGGGAGAGAATCTCAAGTGGACTTCAGATCAAGACCTGAGCTGGACACTTAACCGACTGAGCCATCCAGGTGCCCCTCCATGGAAACTTTTACTCTTAGATAGGATTGTTCCACGGATGATTTCTGAGTGGGTCTGCTTTTTTGTTGTTGTTGTTTTAAAGTAGGCTCCATTCCCAGCGTGGAGCCCAATGTGGGGCTTGAACTCATGACTGCAATTCAAGACCTAAGCTGAAATAGTCGGATGCTTAACTGACTGAGCCACCCAGGCATCCCTGCTTTTTTGTTTTTCTTAAGTTCCCATTTCTACACAATGAGCACAATAACCTCACATGTAATGATTATAGAAACACATGTGACAATGTATAAAACAATCACAAGTCCACTGCAGATGCTCAATAAACTTTAAATGCCTAGGTGTCTCAACTCCTACAGGGTGACGAGTTACAATGTAATGTATAAGGAAAGAGTCTTGAAACTAGACAATCATTCTACTGACATTATGCACACAGTAAAATTAGACTAGCTCAGATATATACATTTTAATGGCATTTTAAATTTGAGATTTTTTTCCATTTGTAATGATATTCAGAAAAATACTGCCCCTTTCTTAATTCAGATTTTCAAAACAAGAGGAAGGAGGCTATAAACATAGGCTCTGAAGTTGAGACTCCTGTCTTTGAATTCCAGGTTAATCATTTACTAGTTGTGCCCCCTCCTATGACTTAGTTTCCTCACTTGTAAAATGGAGATAACTCATCCTCCCTTTGTAGGCATGTGATGAATATAACAAGTCAAGGTTGTGGTACAGTATCAGACTTGCAGTAAAAGATCTGGAACAGAAGTCATCATTACTATACTCTTCTGTCCCTGCTCCAAGAACCTCTCATTCTCCCAATTCAACCCCACTCAGCACTGTCACCCTTTTCAGATTATGAGATCCTTCTAAAAAGAGCCTATCCCCGGGGCCTGGCACATGGTAGGCTGTCAAAACTGTGCTGAATGATAAGTGGAGAAATGGAAGGCGTGACTTCAGAGTATCAAATGTACTTTAGATAATCAAAGCAAAAAGTCATTGCTACACTTCACTATTTTTTCTATTGTGGTTTAAAAAAAAATAAAAATAAAAATGATATAGTTTATCCTTCCAAACAATCATTTACCCATTCTGGAATGTACTAATGAACACCTACTTCAGGCAAAACAAACTTCCTTTGTTCAGGGTGAATCTTAAATCTTTGTGATTTGGGGCTATATTTTAAGATTTTTTTTTAAGTAAGACTTAATAATTAAACCTATTTGGGTTCAAAATAGGTTATTTCACAAATTCTGTCCTCATAAGTTGTATAAAAGCTGAAATAATGAGGGCATCAAGCAGCCTATGAAACTTTAATGACACAATCTATTTAATCTCTCTATTAACAGCTACATTTGAGTAAATTAATTCTTCTTTTATTTGATCACTTACATGAAATTTGACCATAGACAGTGAATAATCACTACAGGGTTCAAATTCAGCTTTCATGTATTTCAAATACTGAGCAACTTTCTCATAAGGCCTGCCTAAGAATCATTAGTCCAGCAAGATTTTCTCAGGGCTTTTAATACACTGATAAAAATTCTAATTATTAGTTCCTGGATGTTCTCTTTCAATGACTCCTAAGGCACAAAATATATATCATTTATAAATTGCTCCATAAATCAGCTATTTGCACATACTATTTGTTTTTTTATAGGCAATCAATATCATACAACAATTTCATATTTTAAAATTTCAAAAGGTTTACAAATTCTTCAATGGCCAAGACTGGATTTTCATTTATAGGGACATTCTTTGTATCGCAGAGCAGAAAAGCACCAGGCATTGAAAAAGAAACAAACCCGTTCCAGTTCTTGAATGGGGTAGCAATTACAGATACTTTTTATAGTTATTTGTTAAGCTGCACGTATGTTTTACATTCTGTGTATGTATGTTATATCTCACAATACAACATATTTCTTAAACAAAATGCTTATAGGTTGAAATACTTTTAAATATAGGAAGAATAAACCTTAATAGAGTATTAAAGGAATTCATTCTTACAATATGTACAATAAATAACTTAGGAGACATTTAGCCAAGAGAAATCAGCAAATTTTCCACTTGAGAAAGTTTCCAAATTATGAATTAAAAATTTCCCAATTATTTGAGCAAAATCAATAGAGGTCCAACAGAAAAACAGGTATAGAATTCAGTCCATTTTCGCCAGTATACGAATGGGGCAAAAATGCCACATATAGAAGATAACCCAAAATTTGATATGGTCATGACAAGGCAATTAATGGAAGTAAACAAAGAAACACACACACACACACACACACGCACTCAGGCACACATGCACACACTTACCAAGACAGTTGCAGGTTGGCAATTCAGAATCTTTTGTTGTGGACACCAGGTTTTTTGTAGGATTGGTAAAGAAGTTCATGGCATAATCATTAAAACTTTTCTGTGCACTGTCTACTGGGGAAAATTCTGAAGCTCCAATACTAGATGAACAGATGTCCTCTTCACTCTTGGTAGAAACCACTGTAATTCCACCTGAACATACTACATCGACATTCCTGAGAATTTGTGCTGGGTCTGGTAAGGGGGTTTCATGAGAGATACCAGGCAATGTTGGCAGTTTCTGATGCATGAGTTGGTCTTTAACATCCCGTGGGAACTGTGTTTGGTCATCACTGGCCATGACATTAGCACACTGGTTAGTTGGAGGGGAGAGCTGGAGTAAAGGATGAGCTTTCTGATTGACATTCACTGTTGGCTGTACCTGAGAATTATCAACTTTTTCTGTAAACGCCTGTCCATTGGATTCTGTTTTTAACTGGCATAATGGGAGAGAATCCAACGGTTCAACCTTCATGTTTCTTTCCTGTGCTAATTCGGGATAATAACGCTCAAATTTTATCTGAGTGAGTGGAGGAAATAATTTTTTGTGTTCTAATGCTGAACTCGTTTGAGTCAGTGGTTTCCATACTTTGGTTAGGGGAGGAATTTTTCCCAAGAGAATGGGAAAGTCGTGTGGACCAAACTGACCAAATCTTTGAAACTTAGACGCTATCCAAATGTCATGTAACTTACTATACTCATATGACAACTGTTCCTGCTTTTTCCGGTCATTTTCTTGACAACTTATGACTATAAGCTTCTTTTTCCGCCGATCTCTCGATGGGGTAGCTCTTGTCTTTTTCTGTGTTGTGTTCTTTTGCTTTGTCAATGATGAGCTATGATTATTTTGTACACTGGAAGGTGCTTTCTGTTGTACTGCGACCTTCTCCTGACTACATTTTTGCTGTATGTTATATGCAACCAGGCTTGTTGGTGTACTTTCAACCTTTTTGTCCTCTTGTTTTATGTAATTGAATTTAATTATTGATGCAAGTTGTGTTAACTGGGTTGCAACGTCTTCCTCTATTTTGCTGTGTATTGTATTTAGACACGACGGATCGTCTTTTAAGTCTATCTTTTTACTGTTGGCCAGGGACTGGTTACAGTATCCCAATTTATCACTAGATGGTGGCAAATGGTGCAAATTCTTAGCATTATCAAGAGTGATTCTACCTTGAGCAACATTTTTATTGGTGTCAATTTTAGGTGAATTTGAATTTGGTATGAAAAGAGATACTGAATTTGTGACTTTTGAATATTCCTGTGACTTTTTAGGTGACTGGTTAGCAGCTGAGCTGTTGTGTGACTTGGAAATGTTTTGGCCATTGAATACCACCGTGTCACATGAACTCTGCTTTTCCAAAGATGGATGGTGATGAAGGCTTTCTGGCTCCCCTTGTAAGTTTTGGTCTTGGAGGTCTTTTCTTACAGAATAGAGGATAGCTTTACAGCTATTAAGCAAACTCGCTGTTCTGTGTTCTGTTTCTTCATCCTTCTCTGACTTTGATGGTGAGGAATTTTCTGATGGGGCTTCTGACAGTTGGGTCAGAGCTTCTATGGCCACCACTTGTTCCAGTGTTAATCTCCTATCTTTCATTAGGGATAGAAGACTTGGTTGAACTGGAGATCCACCTTTCAGTTCTTTACTTGGTATATTTTCTAGAGATTTTGGTTCATCACTTTCATTGTGTGTACTAGTATGACTATTTAAGTGGAACGTTGCAGGATCTGGAAAAGACTTGCAGTTAAAGCCAGATTTCTGGAAGACTGAAACATTATTTCTCCCTTTGAGATGATCACAGCTCGTACTAGTGGCAATGGAACTCATGGCATTATGGTTGGCAGTGTCTTTCAGGAATTTATAGGACTTGTTTTCAAATGCCTTGCCAAATTCTTCAATATTGAATTTTTTAAAAGACACATTTGTTTCGGTTGGTAAATAGTGTACATTTTTAATGCCGTTTCTTACGGTTTGTGCAAACAATTTCTGAGGCTCAATTAAGTCAGTAAGTAGGACTTTTTTCCTGTCATCTTCAGAATTTTTTAATTTTTCAGCTTCTGTCACAATTGCCTTAATTTCGCCTTTGACATGATCGGTTAAATGTGATTTCTTGTGCTGCGTCCACTTCTCCACTTCAATACCTGTCATACTTTCTTCATTTTTAGCTACATTTTCGAGGGGAGGTGGGTTTAATTCCAATCTCTGTTCCCCCCCATAGCTCCTCCTGTATTCCATGGATTCTGACTTGGGGCCATTTACTGGTTTGTTGACAAAATATGCCTACAAAACAAGCACAGAAATATCTCACATTATCTATGCAAATATTGGAATAAGAGCCACAGGAACTTTACGATTTAACATGAGTGAAATGTAAAACCCCTGAAAAAAATATTACTTTTGCTTTTTACTTTTCTTTTTTTAAAGATTTTATTTATTATTTGACAGAGAGATAGAGAGAGAGCACAAGTAGGCAGAGTGGCAGGCAGAGGGAGAGGGAGAGGGAGAAGCAGACTCCCCGCTGAGCAGGGAGCCAAACGTGGGGCTTGATCCCAGGACCCCAGGATCATGACCTGAGCCGAAGGCAGCGGCTTAAACGACTGAGCCACCCAGGCGCCCCTGCTTTTTATTTTTCAATAAAATACCAAAAGGGGTGTGTAGCGAAAAAGAAAAAAATTAAAGTACAAATATCATTAACTCATACCTGTAAATATTTTGGTATACTTATTTGCTTTTCAAAATAATTTTTTTTTTTTTAAGAGAGAGAGCAAGGAAGTGTAAGGGGGTGGGTGGCGGGGTTGTGAAGGGCAGAAGGAGAGAGAGAATCTTAAGCAGGCTCCATGCTCAGTGGAGAGCCCAATGCAGGTCCAATCTTATGACCCCGAGATCATGACCTGAGCCAAAATCAAGAGTCTGGACACTTAACTGACTAAGCCACCCAGGTGCCCCTCCAAATAAATCTTTAAAATATTTTTACATTGGTACCATTCGATGGGCAATATCTATTATCTTAATGCAAACTGTACTGAAATACAAAATACACACAGAAAAGTGAACAAATCCTAAGTATATAGCTTACTGAATTTTCATAAATGAACCCCCCAAGTGCCCAGATTCCAGCCAAGAAACTCCTGTATAGTCATCATTCCACTGCCAAAGGGTAACCATTATTTTGACATCTATCATAGATTTCTTTTGCTTATTTCCAAACTTTACACAGCTGACTTCCTTTCACTCAAAATTATACTTGTGATTCATCCATGCTGCAGTCCATTGATTCTTACTGTTGTATAGTAATTCACTGAATGAAAATACTACAATGTATTTATTGATTGTACCATAGATGGACATTTGAGTTATTTTTGGTTGTATACCAGTATAAATATTACTGTAATCTTGTGGTGAACATATAATATATACACATTGGGTGGAGTGGAAGTGCTGGGTTATCAAGTGTGTGTGTATGTGTATGTTAACTTCGGCTTTAGTAGACAGGCCAAAGAATTTTTTAAAGTGGTTATCAACATACACTCCCACGAGTAATTATGATAGCTCTAACTGTTGCACATTCTTATTAGCAGTTAGTATTTTCTGTCTTTTCACTTACGCCATTGTGTTTAGTGGGAATGATATAATTCCTTTAAAAAAATTTTTAGATGAAATGCCTACAAAATAAAATTAATCATTTTACCATTTAAAATCGTAAAATTCAGTGGTTTTTAAGTATATTTACAATGTTATGCAATAATCACCTCTATCTAATTCCAGAACATTTTCATCACCCCTAAAAGAAACCTTGTACCTATTAAGCAATCACTCTCTATTTCCCCTACTAATCCCTATTTTTATTTTATTTTTTTATTTTTAATTTTTAAAATTTTTTTTTTAAAGATTT